GGCGGCCGCCCCCTGAGGCGATTTGTGCGAGCGACGCCCCCTTTGGGCGGGAGTTGCCATAGCGACGCCCCTTGTGGGCGGGAGTTGCCATGGCAACACGACTCGCTGAGGTAAATAGCGAGCGACGCCCCCTCGTGGGCGGGAGTTGCCATAGCGACCGCCCCTTCTGGGCGGGAGTTGCCATAGCGACTGCCCCCTCTTGGGTGGGAGTTGCCATGGCGACCGCTCCTTTTGGGCGGGAGTCGCCATGGCAACGCGGCTGGCTGAGGTAAAGGGGAAGCGCCGGCCCTAGGGGAGAGGCACCATTGAAGCCGCGGATTCCCCCTTTGCCCCAGGCGCAGCTCGTGCGGGAGCGGAGCTGGCGGCCCCGCTCCAGCAGCGGCGCCTCGGAGCTGGACGACGATGATGACGACGACGACGAAGAGTCCGAGGCCGCCCGCGTGCAGAGAACGTGGAGCCGCCCGCGCCGAGAGCTGCCCCCCGACCTGCTGGACCCGCACCCGTGAGCACCGGGAGAGCCCGGGGCTTTGGGGGTGGATTTTTGGACAGTTGGGGTGGATTTTGAAGCATTTGGGGTGGGTTTGAGGGTTTGGGGGGGATTTCGGTGGATTTTGGAGCATTAGGGGTAGATTTGATGGTTTGGAAGGAGGATTTCAGGGTTTGGGGAGATTTTGTGGATTTTGGAGCATTTTGAGTGGGTTTGTGGCTTTTAGGGGTGGATGTGGGGGGCATGTTGGGATTTTGGGGGGATTTGGGTGGGTTTTGGAGCCTTTGGGGGGATTTGAGGGGTTTGGGGTGGATTTTGGGGTGGTTTGGGGGGAGTTGGAAGCATTGGGAGAGGATTTGGGTGAATATTAGAGCATTATGGGTGGGTTTGGGGGGTGTTTGGGTGGATTTTGGGACATTTGGGGTGGATTTTGGGATACTTGGGGGTACTGGGGTGGATTTGAGAGCATTTTGGGTAGATTTGGGGGCATTTGGGGTGCAGTTGGGGCAGATTCGGGGCATTTTGGATGGATTTGGGAGTATTTGGGGGCATTTGGGGTGGATTTTGGCATGGTTGGGGCGGGTTTGGGGGCATTTGGGCTGCATTTGGGAGTATTTGGGGGTCTTGGAGTGGCTTTTGGAGCATTTTGGGCGGGTTTTGGAGCATTTGAGGATATTTGGGGTGGATTTGGTGGTCCCGGGGTGGATTTGGGAGCATTTCGGACGGCTTGTGGCTCATTTTGGGTGCATTTTGGTTGGATTTGGGAGCATTTTGGGCGGGTTTTGGAGCATTTGAGGATATTTGGGGGGGATTTGGTGGTCCCGGGGTGGATTTGGGCTCATTTTGGGTGGATTTCAGCTCATTTTGGGTGGGTTTGGGCGCATTAGGGGGTATTTGGGGTGCCTTTGGGATGTCCGCGGGGTTCCCGGGGCGTCTTTGGGCTCATTTTGGGTGCGTTTTGGTTGGATTTGGGAGCATTTCGGACAGCTTTTGGCTCATTTTCGGTGCATTTTGGTTGGATTTGGGAGCATTTCGGACAGCTTTTGGCTCATTTTCGGTGCATTTTGGTTGGATTTGGGAGCATTTCGGACAGCTTTTGGCTCATTTTCGGTGCATTTTGGTTGGATTTGGGAGCATTTCGGACAGCTTTTGGCTCATTTTGGGTGGATTCGGGAGCATTGTGGGTAGGTTTTGGCACACTTGGGGGTATTAGGGGTGCCTTTGGGGTAGATTTGGGGTTCCCGAGGTGGATTTTGGCTCATTTTGGGCGGGTTTTGGAGCATTAGGGGGTATTTGGGGTGCCTTTGGGGTGTCTGCGGGGTTCCCGGGGCGTCTTTGGGCTCATTTTGGGTGGATTCGGGAGCATTTTGGGCGGATTTGGGAGCACTTGGGGGTATTCGGGGTGGATTTGGGGGTCCCGAGGCGGATTTTGGCTCATTTTGGGCAGCTTTTCGTTCATTTTGGGCGGGTTTTGGCGCATTAGGGGTATTTGGGGTGGATTTGGGGGTCCCGGGGCAGCTTTGGGCTCATTTGGGGCGGCTTTTGGTGCATTAGGGGGTATTTGGGGTGGATTCAGGGTGGCCGGGGGGGGTCCTGGGGCGTCTTTCGGCTCATTTTGGGCAGGTTTTGGCACACTTGGGGGTATTAGGGGTGCCTTTGGTGTGGCCATGGGGGTCCCAGGGCGTCTTTCAGCTCATTTGGGGCGGATTTGGGAGCGTTTTAGGCGGGTTTTGGCGCACTTGGGGGTATTTTGGGTGGATTTTGGGTGTTTTTGGGGTTTCCAAGGCGGATTTCAGCCCATTTTCCCCTCTCTCGGCAGCGCGCGGGGCAACGTGCGGCGCATGCACACGGCCGTGCGCCTCAACGAGGCCATGGCCGCCCGCTCGCAGGGCGCCCGCCTGGGGCTGCTCAACCTGCCGCCGCCGCCGCCACGTCACCATGGCCACTGAGGGGGGTAACTAGCACCTGGGGAGGGGTTAATTAGCACTGGGGGGGGTAATTAGCATGGTGGGGGGTTGGTTGGGGGATGGGGATTTGGTAGCAGGGGCCCTGGCTGGGAGAACAGGGAGGTCATTAGGGAAATAGGGGGATAATTAAGTATTTAAGGGGGTTAATTAGCAGGGAAAAGGGGTCATTAGCACGAGGATGGGGTAATTAGGCAGGCGGGGGGGTAATTAGCGATGGAGGGTGTTAATTGGATAGGGAATGGGATGGGGGCAGCGAGTCCCCAATGGGTAGATGAGTGAGAGGAATAATTAGAGAAATAAGGGGTTAATTAAGCACCTGGGGGGCTAATTATTAGCGGAGAGGATTAATTAATGTTAATTAACGTGGGGGTGTGCTAATTAACGCTAATGAGCCTTAACGAGGGCGGCGCAGACCTGGAGTTCCTGGAGGTGCTCACGGAGGGGCTGGAGCGGGTGCTGCTGGTGCGGGGCGCCGGCACCGAGGTGGTGACGCTGTACCCGTGAGCCCCAAAACGGCCCCAAAATGCCCCGAAACCGCCAAAAAATACCCCGGAACGGCCCAAAACACCCAGAAACACCCCAAAAACTCCCAGAAACACCCCCAAAACACCCCCAAAACACCCCAAAACGGCCAAAATGGGCCCAGAAACCACAAAACGGGCGGCACAAAATGGCCGCCGCCACACGGGGTGGGTGACACAAAATGGCGGCCCAGAAGGGCCCCCAGTGAGAGGAGGATTAATTACCCCCCCCTCCCCCCATGGTGTTAATTAGCCCCAAAGGGGTTAATTGGTTGTTAATTACCCCCTTAATTAGGGGCTAATGAGGCCCCGGATGGGGGGTAATAAAGGAGGTTGGAAGCGGCCGTGTGCGAGTGCTGAAAAAGGGGGATTTGGGCCCAAAACGGGGTCGGTTTTGAGGCAAAAAGCGGCGGAAAAGGGACAGAAACGGGTCGGTGACCCCAAATTTGCCCAAAAGGGGCCAAATTTGCCCCGAAAGGGCCCTGAGTTCACACGCTCCCCTCCCCCAAGAGCGGGTTTGCCCCAAAACAGGCAGTTTGGCCCCAAAACAGCAGTGAAATTCCCCCGAATCGCCCCAAACCGGTAATGCCCCCAAATTGTCCCAAAACAGCCTGAAATGAGCCCAAAACCCAACGCCTTTATTGGGGGGGG